TGAAAATGCAACTAATTTGCATTTTAGAGTTCCTGACCTTTGAAAAGTTTGCATGAAATTCTCTTGACAGCAGAATGAAAACAGAGCTAATGTCTCTCTCTTTTTCTCTCTCTCAACCCACCCACACCACATTCAAGAGATTTACATTATGCGTCTGTAGATAGAAGTTGGTAACGTACTGAAGCTGCTGGCTGTATGTTACAGTGCAGCCTGTTATATGAAGGGTGAAGCTGAATGTGCTTTCAATCTTTGTACTGGCCAAAGAGAGAAATACAGGGAGGATGGCACGTCAACAACTGAAAGACAAAAATACTCCTTAGATAAACAGTGAGACAAAACAAAACCTGATGTGAATATTTGGTTTTATTCCCGAGATATTTTAAAATACAAAAGTAGAGCATCATTTTTTATTTAATTTTTTTTTCCAGCAGGGAAACCTCCAAGACATGCGAATGTGTTTAGAGAACTAAAACTCTATGGATTTATTTGAGAAACACAGAGGAGTGTGTGTCAGAGAGAAATATAGTAGCAGGTAATTATCTGGGATTCTTGGATGAATGAGTGCATTATGCTGCCATTGTTTTCCCTTTTGAAACTAATCAGACAGATTTACACACACGCTCATCCCGCTGACAATAAGAAATCCAGCACAGAAAGTCTCATCTGTCTCGCCACAATAAGACAGCAGCAATAACAGGGCTGTCATCACGCAAAGACATACTCAGGGTGTAGCCAGCGAGCAAGCAGTCACGTTTCATTGGCTGAGTTTTTTTTTGTGGGGAGCCTGATTTTATTTTTATTTTTTTAGATTTAGAAAAAGAAATACTGCAAATGAACTGTCAACATGCAAATGTAATATTTGTATGTTGTTCACAGTTGTATTCAAGTAATACACATACATTTGCTCTGATATTTTGTGTGTTATCTGGAGTATCTACCATGTTCTCAGGCAGAATAAGCTCTATAGAGATCAATTGTTATCATACTATTTGGATAAGCAATAGACCTGTTCTCACTGACTTCTATTTTAGAAAAAAAACAAAAACATAGACAGTTCTAGACCTGCAAGGCCTTATCCATTATTGACTTAACTGAGAAAAGTCCACTACTGGAGACGTGATTTTGAAATGAGGAATCACAGCTGGATTCCCATGTGGGGTAGCAGGGATGTAAATACGAGTCTGAACCAAGCAGCAACCTCTGGGACTGAGATTTTAAACCAATACACAAATGCCAAAACTGCAGTTCTTTGAATGACCACTTAAAGATGCTCAAAAAACAAGTCAAGCCCCATAGACCCCCATGGTGAAATGCCCAACTTTATAGCAGAGATATACAAGTTTACAGCCTGGTACAATAAATGATGTTGGTCTCTATAGCAAATTTTCATATGACTCACCTGCGTAAGTTGAATTAAGACTTAAAGTTCAATCCACCTCTTTACTGATTTTTAACTGGGCGTTAGATGGAGTCAATGCCAAGATGGCAATAGCCAGAGCAACGACACCACACTGAGCTTCAAAACTGTATAGGTGACATCATGAAAGGTTTGTCCATCGTGATAAATTGTCAAAAGTCTGAACACCAACTAATGATGCAGGACCTTTTAAGGTGACACTAATCTGTCAATGAATGGACAGATTCACAATCAAGAGAGTTGTTCATTGATGTAATTCTTGTGGAATTTGTGACTGACTACAGAGATGATGTATTATTTTTGTTGGCTAAACAGATGATGTCTATCATAAGTTATACTAGTAAGTCAGCCTGTCTGAGTTTATTTTTGTCAAAACAGAAATAAATGTGGTAGTAATCATCATGAGCATTGTAGAACGGCAACTACTTCCTGAAAAACCCTAAATAAGTGTGGCTTCAAACAAATGTCTCCACAGTATGTTACAATCACAGATACACAGACTCAGGTCTCTGTTCAAGGTCTAATGTATTGTTTTTAGTTTGAGCACGATGGCGGCTCATTGTCAGCTGAGAGGCAATACACATATAGGAAGCAGTCACAGCTCTGATGTAATGGATTCTGAAGCAGACAACATAAATGGTCATCTTTCCCAACAAATGTCTGTTTAATTTATTTGATACAAGATGTTTTTCAGTCATCTGGGCCTCAGGTTTCTAACAGAAGCAGGGTAAAGGTGATAAAACTATTCACCTATTTATTATTGATAGTGTGTTTTTACCACTGTTGGAAGAAACTGAACCACTGTCAAATGGGTTTAGGCTGTAAAGCAGTAAAAATTCTTCTCGACTAACAAACAGAAGCAACACTATGTAGTTGTTGGAGCTGTGTAACGAATGTAGACCTCAAGCTGTACCTGTATCCTCGGTAACGAAAAAGCATAAAAATTCAAAACCCGCTGCCTGTCTAAAACAATAAACAAGAACATGATCTCAAGAAAGGAATCTCTCTCTACTTTTTGAAATTTGCAGTGAAACAAAAGTTTCATAGCCAGTAGAAAAAGACTGCAGACAAGAAGATCTGTTAATATTTTACTATGGCAGGTTTGCAAATCTGTTTGATGTGGAGTCTGATGGATTTCACTGGAAGCTATGGAAACAAATCAATGTATGTATGACGAGCACCTGTTGAGAAGCAGAGGGTCTTGGACTGAAATCAGAACCCTGAACGGAAGGAATTAAAATCTGAACTCCTGTGTCCGACCTATGAGTATCATGTTTATGACTCCAAGCTAGGTCTTTTCGTGCCTTTAACTGTAATTTATTTTTCAGTTTCTGCTGTTCTTGAAAATTATTAAACCATTGTACTCTGCTTCAGAAAAACCCGCACATCAGTGTGAAAATCAGTTTGTCCTTTCTGATCCTTGAGTAGTTTGTTTTGTGGCGAGACGGATTCAGCCTTTTGTCATAGTAGCTCTGTAGCTCTGTTGGTATAGCTTTGTCTGGCCCTGAACTGGGTTATTGCTGCCAAGTAAAGGTTCAGTACTGAATCAGTTAATCATACTGCTTATTTATTGTGTTACTGTCCTCTTGGATTTTGTGCTACATATTGCTCCTTTCTTGTGACAACTTTGTAAATCAAATTTTTGTTTTTTGTGGCTTTTAGCGTGTTGTAACCATGACTACATGGTCCTGAATTGGTTAAAAAAAAAACAAAAAAACATATATAATAAATTAAATACTTCTGGCTTATTAAAATTGTAATTCTTCTTAATATTCTGAGCTTGAATGTGATGTTAAGTCCACATGTGCCAAAACAGCAACAAATATTTACTGGATGTAACTCCAGTTCTATGAGTACACAAGAACTAGAACAATGGAGGATTTGTTATGTTAGAATTTTATATTGTTGTTGGTGGCATTAGAGAGGAAAAGACTGCTGCACGACAAGCAGAAGGTAGAAAAAATGGTGATTGTTGTCCTCTCTGAGTTTAATGAACCAGTGCTGTCTTGTTTGAGTTTAAACAATTAGCTCGAGCCATGCACAGCAGTTTTTTCAGGGGAGCTCAGAAGTCCCTAGACTGGAGTAGGAACTGTTTTCTCTTCTGAACGAGGTTCTATAGGGATGGTTCTTACAATTGGAAAACGCTTGAAGGTTTGGGCCCATAAGTCCCTGCAGTGGAAAATGAGGCTGTTTAGATGGACCAACTTAGTAGCTGCTGGAATTTGAGAATCAAGTAAAGCTCTTAGAAAATTAGGAGCTTTGGGATGTCCATTCTCCTGTGGTGTCCCTGAGTTGAGCCTTCCTCTTCATATTAAATATCTCCCATCGTCAAAACATTATACAGGTTGTATCCAATACAAAAATTCAGAAGCACACATATTCCTTAAAGTATCATAATAATTCAAAAACATTTAGTCTGGCCAGTTCATTTGAACATAACATATTATCTTGTTTGAAATTGCATCAAAGAACAGTCCTAATTTATCTTCTTGAAGTAAGACATTACATAACAGAGTCCAGTGCATTTTTATTTTTCTTCTCTGAAGCAAATTTTGTAAGTCTATTTATGAGCTTCCTGTTGTGAAACAGTGATGTAAGGTAATAGGCCTTTGCTAACCTGAAGGCACAAAAGGAAAATAGATCTTGTGCGCGCCCACACACACTGGAAGGATTTTATTCGTTGCCCTCTAAGGTGTGTGCTGTGGGGAGAGTGAAAAATTTAGGACATCCTGTCTTCAGGTCATTCAGCTGCCTCAGTGTCAGATGTTGGATATCTGCTTTACAGACGCACGCGCATGCATGCACGCATGCACGCACAGTCTGTCACCGACCTCCAGGACATCCAGAAACATTCCCAAAACAGTCTCTTCCTATTCACACCTCAGCACACCTCAATCATTCTCGCCTCCTCAATGCCTTATGCACACATTTAGTTACCTGACTGAGTCTTTCAGCAACATAGCTGATGGTAAGAAGCTTTAATTCACACCTTGTAATAACCAAAATGACACAAAAAAAAACTATAGCAGGGAAGCAGAAGACATCAGACCGAGATTTTTACAACAGTGACCCTGCAGATGATTGTGAAACACAAATTGGATCAAATTTAGAGCCACACATAAAAAGCTTAATGTTCGCCTCTTTCCATCCTTCTCTCCTTTATTGTTCCACGTCATAATGAACTGTCCAATAAAGTAGAATGAATGCAGAAACCAGAGTAGCTACAACCTCTGTGGTCATGGTCAGGGCTGTAGTGATGTATAATTAGAGCAGATTAGGTTTTTGTTTTGTTTTTTTTTGGCAGAGCTTTACCTAGAGCGAAAGTGCGTTTAGGGTGAAATAGTATCAAGAATTTAAAACTCCTGCTGGAATAAAGAGCATATTTATTGTGTAGCATAACAGACAGAGGCAGCCAGGTCTTAAGAGAACAAGCGAGACACTGTACTGACTCATGTAAACTCTACATGAACACCACAGGACATGTACTGTATATAGAAGATACAACAGAGGTGTGTTTACGCGCCACTACTCTTCTGCTCAGACCAGTAATGTGTATTGACATTGTGTGTGTGTGTTTGTGCAGGCCGCAGGGTGCTCGCATGATGTCCAAACCCGGGGCTGAGCAGCTCTCCAGCACCACCATCAGCGAGGCCTCCACTGCCATCACCTCCTCCACTGTGGACACCACTCCTGCCTCCAAGGTGAGTCTGTATGGATGTAGCTGCATGTATATGAAGGTTGCTTATTATTTTAGATTCTCATTTTTGAGAGTAAATCCTTTCTGGCTCTTCATGTTTCAACCATTTCCACGTGATTGTGGATTTACCCTGTGATGGGAATGACAAAATGGGCTGGTTTTAAGCTATTTGAAGGCAGACAGGCTTTTTATGTGTTTAATTCACATTTTTGTAACGTTACAATACATAGAAGACCTTGAATCTTTAAGCTGCAGTGCAAAGGGTAATGTCATGAAACCTTGAACTGTATATTTGCAAGAGATTCACTTTTTCCTCCTGTTTTATGCTGTTAGTAATATTCCTGTTTCTCATAGAACAAATGTATGGAATGCAAACATTAAACACAGTGCAGCTCACCACTGTTCTTGTTTGCTCGCATTAAGTGTTGTGATGAGTGAAGCCAGTTGGACTAATGTGGTAACTGTTGTTAAAATGCTAAACACAGCAGCCTTCCTTATGAGCCAGAGCACATCCTGAGATCTTCAGATACCTCTGGCAGTCTCTTTGCTCCAAAGCTGACAGGTGTGCTTTTTGCAGTCAGACTCCCTAGACTGTCGGAAGCCATGCCTCAGGCTAGCAAACATTATCACCTTAAAAACCTTAAAAATGCTGTTCTCTCCTATTTATATCTTTATTTAGCTTTTCTTTAGTTCTTGTTTTTAAATGGGCCAACTGTCTTCTCCTACTCTCGGTGAGATCTACAAGCTATCAATAAAATAATAGCAGAAGCTGAGTTGGTGTCTCTCATCAGTCGTCACTGGTTCACCAGTAGGAAGCGTGTTGTTCAAAACATAAAGAAGACAAATGTATAGCAGTGCCTTCACATATCTGCCATGACGGAAAAGGATCATTAAACAATATAATAAGGCTGGTACCTGAATGTACATACAAGGTACATGGACTAAAGATAAACCACAGACATCCATAGACGGGCTTTAAAAGTGGATTTGTTTTTGGTCTCCACCACAATGTGTAACAGAGGAGTACACCACCATGGGTTGGTTCTAGTCATCCCTGCTACAGACCGCACTGTCAGGGGCTAGTGGAAAAATTCTGTTATTTGTGGCCACTGGTTGACTTACACCATCAGTGAATGGGAGATGATGATGAGGAATGGAAAGTCTTCTATGGCAGATCAAGATCGATTAAGGCCAAGCAAAGATAGAGAGGTGAGAAAGAGGTGGTTGTCGAGTGGCTGTACTTTGATTGAACCTAAGAACTAGGCACATATACTTTGCAAATTAATTCATATGTCCTCTTCTTGGTTGAGTTGCTTACCCAGTCTTCTTTGCATTGAGGTTTAGTGTAGAACAGGTAAAGCTGCATGAGTTGACCTTTCCAATGATGCCAGTTGATCATCTGTGCAACACAGCGTTGGTGAGAAAAATAATTTAAAATTTTCATCAAATTTAATCGTAGTTACAATTTATATGCTGCTCAGAGTCCACCTCCACACCCATTAGTCTTGTTTGAATAATTCATGAGTATTGTCACTGCATAGATACGGAACACATACCACAAGACAACAATGAAACCTGAGCTTTGTAATTACTTTTTATCACATATTTGTACATTCTGATGTTATCACATTGTGAAGACGGATCAGACTTCAGCACAGTAATATCTTCACCCTAATAACTTAATTTCGTCACCCTCTTTCATTCTCTCATCATGGTTGAATATGTCATAAAATCCCTATTGTTTCACAGTATACTGCATATTAAAATAAACAGCAGAGCTTACCCTTACTGACTAAGCTGTTTCTCTATTGTTTCTGTGTGGAACAAAAGATTGTTGAAAAAAAAGTTGTGGTTACATGACAAGCCCAGGTATATGTGCATAAGAAGAAAAAAGATGTTTTAAATAAATAAAATATGTATGGCTAGCCCTTATATTGACCGAGAGCTTGAAAGTAATGAAATTGCTCAGAAAATAGCAGGGTTCAAAGGATTAAAGGCATGATTCAGAGCCAGCAGGTAGATGTGATGACAATGGTCTCCTATCTGTCTGTAATACAGGAAGGGCTACAGCAGGGTAGTTTTACTATAAAGGCTTGCATTGTTTAGACATTTCGTTTAGTGGGGTCCATCTCTACCCTTTTCTTTGCGTTCTGTCTTTTTTTTCCCCTTCCCAAAAAATGGCAACTTGCCACAGCAGCATTAAAATTAACTCTTACTCTCCAGTTTTACTAGACATGCTCCTTCTGTAAGTTATTTGCAACACACAGCTGATTGCCAATCGTGTAATCTCTCAGTATATCATAATACCATGCATTACATCAGTGATGAATAGATTTGAGTTGGTTTCAATTCCTCCTCTCCCACTCTTTTGTTTGTATCTGGCCTCGTATCTGCATATATTTAGGGTATTTGGCCGCATTTACATTCCCGGGTTTCAAGTTAAAATTCTAGAATACATCCCACATGCATATCAATCAGTTCACATTGATAGTTTAAACAAGACTCAGTTATATTTGTTTTGGAGTCGTGCACTTTTCTTTCCACGTTGTTTCCGCCCTTCAAGCGGTCATTGGCTCAGACAATTTGCTGCCAAAATTACAAAGTTCGTTGAAGCAAATCAGCAAAGACAGTCCTGATGAATTCTAATTTGAGCTCCCAAGTGCAGATCTCATAGGTTACATTTTGCACCATCTGGTTTGGTGCAACATAAATGTACCTGGATAGAAGCTAGAAGATCTCTTTTTCTGTTTTGTTTCTTCAGCTTTCCTCCATTGTACTTCATTCACTCATTCTGAGTCTCCCATCCTGAGTTTCCCTTTTAGACTACATCTTAAACTCCTGTTCACTCACTCGCACACATGCGTGTATGTAGCTCCACAGTTGCGTGAAATCTCATCCTGCCCTATCAACAGGTGCCGCGGGACCAAGATTGAACATGTGTCATCGGGTGCGGTACAGAGATGACAGGGCATCCATCACGATGCCCCGTTGCCGTTTCCACGCCCAGTGTTTTCCTGGCCTGCAGCCCTCCCAGGTGCTTCGGCTCATCACCCCTGCCATCAAACAGCAGAAAAATAGTACCGAAGCCTCATTCTGACAAGAACAACTCTTAACAAAAGAATCTTGTCTCAGAGGAAAGATGAGTCATTGGTAACCCCCCCTTGCATAGCACAGCGCTTTCAAGAAACGAATCCACATTTTAAATAAGTCACATTCATTCCGCCTCTGACAAAACATCAGAGGGAGCACTGAGACAGAAATCATCCCGATTCTCCCATGAGTTGTGTCACAATTCTCCTTTAAGCACTTGTGTTGTCTGTCGCTGGATGCATATTTAGTAAGTTGTGTTTGTAACTAGTCTGCACGAATTCTTTGGGATTTATCAAAGTCAATGTCATTTAGGAGTTTCTGTTGGGTCCCAGTTCACTTCATGTGCATCCTCAGTTCTCTGCCTCATTGTTTGAAAAATAGCTCCATTCTTCAAGTGCTGCTTTGAGCATTAAAACACGCTAGTGGAGCAGAGATTGGGGTAGAGGATTGGTTCCTTAAATATCTCCTTTTTGAGCTACTGTCTGAACTAGAAAATGCATCCTGCTGTTTCTGCTATTCTAGTTTTTAAGTTTTTAGGCTTTCCTAACACCAAGCTTTAGATGCAAGCAGTGAAACACAGTGACGAGTCGAAAGCTGATAAAAAAAACAACCAAAAGAGACTGTGCTGGAAAACTCGTTTGAAAATCCATTGCTGAAGAGATATTACTTGGTTCTTCACTCTCTGTTCTTGGCTTAAAATTCTTGAATTACATTGTTTTGAAGCCAAATTTATGTCTCAGCTGTGTAGGGTTGGCCAATATGTTGTTGTTGATCCAGACTCAAATATCTCAACAACTTTTTATTCAATTAAAAATACATTTAGTATGGACATTCTTGTTGCCTAGAGGATGAGTCCATATGACTGATGAACCTCTGGCTTTTCATCTAGCATCACCAGCTGGTCAAATGTTTCATTCACAACATCCAGTCACCCCTCCTAAGTGTAATTAGAAGAAAAAAAATGTAACCAGGTTGCAGATAATTTCATTGCTGGGTTTTCTGTCCATTTTTTGCACCTAATTTTTTTTTTTTTTTTAAAATGAAGAAAATACTGAAAGTGTTCATTACAATCCTAAAACCTTAAAATTCCATCACATTTTGACATAGTGGTTTAAAAAAAAAAAAAAAAAAAAGAGTGGAAATGCATGAAATTTGGGGGAGGGGAAAAAAAATCCATCCTAACCTTTTAGCATATTGTAATTCAAGTGGTGCGTAAGAAAACTAGACTTCTATACTTCCTCCTGACGCTGCTTTCAAGCTTTAGGAAATCAACCCAATGACGGAAGATATCAGCCAATTGCAGGGCTTTTCATTGATCAGATGAATGAGTATAAATAGCAACGAAGTCCACAGTAAAAGTAAGATGGGAAGATGCAATTGGTTAGATGGAGGACTTTCACTCAGGAGGCTTGAGTTCAAATCCCAGGTGAAACCGCAAATGAATGCTGGTTTTTACAATCTTAGTGGGTTTGAAGCACGTTCTTGTCTGATGGGGCAGGAGGCCTGTATTCCAGTGGGGTTTTTTTTAGTCTACTGCAGCTTTAATATGCCTTTTCTGTGCTAAATTTGGGTGCAAATTTAACTATTTATATTTAAATAACTTGTTTTGTCAGAATAACATTAAAAAGTGTTTTAATTTACAGTGATGCAAAACAGGAGAAGACAGTAAACATTTCATTTAAAAGGCTAGAAACAAATAGTGTTGAGCATTTTTACTTGATAAATGATTTAAATCAATGTATCGTTTCTGTCATCAACTAGTTGCAGTCATCTCAGCAGTTAAAGTAACCCAGACTGACTCCTGGGAGCCGCTCTTAAACACTGATCAGATTCACTTGAACAGGCTGCGATTATCCTATGTCTGGTCTAAGCACATCTCAAGCAGACTTCTAAAGGGAGGGGGAAAGCACTACTCTTGTTTAATTACCTCACCCTCCGAGATTATTCTCATCTGGCTGGGGGTTTGAACTGGCAGCCTCCAGGTCTCAGACGGGGCCCTCCAGGCTTTTAGGCTGTCTAATTGTGTGGCATTCACGTAACAAATAGCTGGTTTGACTCTCAGTCACTCACCTACAAGACAGAGTGCTACTGTGCAGCAGGGACCACAGTCTGTTCCACAGAATTACCCTCGGCCTAAAAATAGACCACTGCATCGTACACACATACACACACACACACACTTGCAGACGCGCACATACAGCCAGAGACAAACTGTGTGACATGCACAGACATACACATGCAGCATATTTACAGATGTGACAATATTGGAGCCGCTGTGCATCATGCTTGGCCAACCAGCCTCCCTGTAATTAGCTGGTGTGTTTGCTGTTTCCCAGCTGTGGATGCCTCCCAGCGCCGCTGCCAGTCCGTATACACACTCATGCAGCCGTCACACCAAATGTTTTATTACAGCAGTGAGGGAGGTGGCAGGGTGGATGTGTGTGCCCGTGCGAATTTGCGCGTATGTGCGCACCCTGCAGTGCCGGGGGGAGTAGTCTTCCTTCAGAGGTTTCAGGGTAGAGGATGGTGTAATGAGATTTCATGAATATGTGCACATACTGGCACATACAGCAGACGACCACAAACACAATAGTAATGCAAGAATGTCATGGTTTGTTGAAATGGAGACACCAGCACCCATGTATTTCCTTAATGTGTGAAATGAAAGATAAATTGACGTCAGTGTTTCAGATGTTGTACATTTATACAAGTGGCGTAATTATAGCTCATTCAGCTGGAACACTACTTAACACTACAGAATTAGTAAATGCTGCTAATAGACCTCAGCTGGTTAGGGGATTTCTTATACTGTAAGTTCACTGATTCCTTCAAGGCCTATTTCTTTTTTTTCTTTTTTTTGTTGCTATTTTCTATTTTTTTTTCTTTTATTTGATATTTTGCTATTTTTACACAGTGTATATAATATACTTTGTTTTTCCATAGAAATGACCAGCAGATTGATGTCAGAATTTGCTGTTCTAGGGGTTGTGGCAAGAATGGCAGGAATTTGGTTGCCATTAATGACTTGAGAAATCATTCAGTTGTGCAAGAGATCAATAACTGTTTACATAAAATATTAGGAAATATTCAATATTACCATATGTAACAGCTGCAAATGTATTATTAGATTAAGAGATTTAATTTGAGCACATCTACAGTGTAAGCACATAAATGACCAAGTTGCTTTTGAGAACTTTCTGTACTTTTATTTACAGTGCTGCACAGATTTTCATTACTTTGCTTTCAGATATTTACAGTAATTAGCCATGTAAGTGGCAAGGGATGTCACAACAGTGACACAGATTCAATTAAAATCAATGCAATTTTATTTGTATCGTGCAGTTTACAGCATATGTTCTCGTCTTGTGGATCGCTTTTCTATGGGTGAGGAAACTATCTTTCCTGAGATTCTTCTGAAAAGACTAGGTGACTTTTCACATTAGCTGAAGACACATTTCGTTTCCTCTCTGTCCTGGTCCTGTGTCAAAGTCTGTGCCCCTAAAAACTATGTTTTCCTGTCTTTCGAATACAGAAATACTCTATGACGCTTCTAAATATCAGTGGAATTTAATGTGCCGAATTTGTGTCCTGTAATTACCACTTGTGGCTCAGCCAAAGCTATAAAGTCTTCCTTCAGTATTGCACATCCACAAAAGCTGTCTTGAAGAGGGACCATGAAATAAAATATTCAAGCAAGGTCTTTATTATTTCAGTTTATATTGTACTCAAATGTTGCATTTTATCAAGCCAATGTGTGTTTTATGCACAAAACAGTAGAACAGTTAGGCCACCTGGGCCCAAATTATATTTTTGCCCAGGGCCCCCAAACTTTATTTTTCAGCCCTGTATGAGTTTAGATAGGCTCTCCTTGACCCTGCATGGGTTTGCTGGTTATTGATAATACATTCATATGAAAATAATTGAAGGAATTAGTAACCTGACCTTGGCTCAAAGCCTAAACTCCCTCTCCTTGCATTGATTAAACCCCCCCAAACCATCTCTGTTTATTAAATTTGCATATTTAGAGGTTTTTCTTTCTATGAAAATAATCCCTTTTTGCATTAAAATGGCTTAGATGTAACTCTACACCTTTGTCTTCATCAGTATGTGCAGATCTAGTATCAACACTTTGATCTCCATCCAGACCCCTGGTTTCCTCAGTTTTTGGTACTATAAGTCAGAACCAGAAACTCATTCAGAAAAAGAATATTGACATAAAAAGCTCCACACTGCAAGTTGGCAGGATTCATTTCTTAGGTTTGTTTTACATCTGAATCTATGTTGTTGATACTATTGTGGTTACACTGCGTTTTCAAAAAGGAAATATGGTGTTGACTGCTTTTTCCATTCCAGATGTGTCTTCAAGTTAATAAAGAACACCATATGAACAGATCAACAAGGTTAAAAACTTGATTTTATTTGTAAGGGGTCTTCTCTGTCTTTTCCAATATCATTGAAATCTAAGCTGAAATGCTTCAGTCGTATAAGTTAGTGGTGATTCTCAAGGACAACCTGAAATTAGTGAGGATGCAGAGATTAAATTTCTTACTTTAACGTAAACTGGCTATTTTGGGGATAGAATGTTTGCCCTTTTCTACCTTAACTTTTTATGTTTCTAATAAAGGACAAGTTGCTTTCATCAGTAATACTGGGCCTTTAACACATCACCACAGTCTGTTACTGCTGACAGTAAAATGTTATTGCCTCACTTTCCTTGATGGTAGCTGTTCACATTCAATGGCTAGACTTTCCAACAGGTGCGTGTCTGCCGGTCAAACTGCTAACTTGCAGGTCACGAGCCCCCTTTTCCAACCTCTTACCTGCCAGACTACAGAGGTTTTGTCAGTGTCTGACCATTGTCATAGCAACAATGTCTGTCACTTTCACATGGATCTAGTGGAAAATTGTCTGCGCTCAAGTAATGGCTGTAATTATCTAACAACTGGGGCAGAAAAGACGAGGTCCCTGAAAAAAGATAATCATGGTGTGGGTGAATGTCCCTTTGGTGCTTTTATAAGTAAGATTAAATGACCTGATCAGATACAGACAGCCCATTTCCAAATATGAGCTACACAGAGAGGTGTCTCACTTTTTGTTCAGAGAATCAGTGTTCTCATTCTCAATCATTGGTAATTAACCAAAGTCAGTTTAGCGCTACCACTAAATGCCAATGCTGATTTGCAGCGAGTAGCCACACAACATTGCTAGTGAGCAAAGGAGATGTGTAAATACTAACCAAGCAAATGTTAGTTAATTAACTTGCACAGTCATAATGTAAAATATAACAACTGATAGATGGGTAATGAAAAGGATCTCGTCTTGGTAAACTGCCCTACTTTTAAAAAACTACATTGACAGAGTGTCTTTTGTAACATTATCAACAATTCACTGCTATTGATGAGCACTTTGATTATGTCTTCTCGCACCACATGAAAGTCCTTGTTTGTGTTGTTGTGTGTGTGTTGCAGGGCTCCCGGTCAAGTGGTAAAGTGCACAGCTTCGGGAAGAGAGAGCAGGCCATTAAGAGGAATCCCAATGTCCCTGTGGTGGTCCGAGGATGGCTCTACAAACAGGTAGGGGCACTTGCACACAACCTCAAACACATAGACATAGGATCAAGTCAGGACTGTCATTGCTAACAAATGACATGTTACTGTGTCTCTATGATGGCAAGGACAGCCACAATAATGACATTTTAATTGATGATTAATTGCCATACTAATACTTGCAATCAATGATTACATTGTGTTCTCTGGTCATTTTATGTCTCTATTAGTTTTCGAGTAGCTGTATTGGTGCCTTTGAACACCACCTTTGGCTGTAAATCTAACAAAGTACCTTCTCCAAGTTGTTAGGCTCGCCTTTTTCATTTGGCTTTAAGCCAAAATGTTCCCACATGTGCTGCTGTGTTTGGCTTTGAAACTAATCCATGATGTTAATGCCAATAGATTCTCATTCAAATGCAGTTGGTTAAATTTGAGAAGTTAAGTGCTTTGCGATAAACAGTTGATGCAAAGTAGAAGAAGGGAGCACAAACAATGGTGAACAATGTGGACACTGAAACATTTGATTTCTGTTAGGGCCGTCCTGCTGTTTTTATGCAGGTAAATGGAAGTAATTTTTCAAAATGATTGTGTTCAGCTCTAATAATTTTGATCATGTGATTGTGTAATAATTGTGACAGGCCTAAGGATGGCATTACCTACATTTGTAGGACTTCCATATCCCTAAAATATAAAACTTCTCAACTAATCAGATTTTAAGAATTTAAAGTCATGTCTTATGAGTAAAAAACACTGTACCTTATTATGTAAAAATGTCCATTTAGCAATTTGGCTAGTGCTTCAAATCATGCTCATTTTCATTGTCTAATCTGATATGTGCACATTTAGCCAGATAATTACAGTCATGTTGAACTAAAGTCTGAAGAAAAGCATTATTGCCGTATATTGTTAACTGACTAATGAGAACACAGGCATTGTACCTTCTTCCTGGCTCGATCAATTTCAGCTTTATCCACTATCATCCTGTAATGTTTCTTTCATTGGCCCAGTTTTTTTTTTCTTTCTTCTTTTTCTTTAGCTTAGGAAATATAGAACACCTGCTGTTGATCACAGACAGGCTGTTACTGAAGACGTTTTGTTTATTTGAAGTTATACTTAAAATGTCTGTAGTTGGCATCGTCCCATTGGAAGCTTTTTGGCTTCTGTCCAAGACAAACAGTGAATGATGCTACTGCAAAGTAATTACATTTTAATGACTACACAAAGAGACATGCCCACACAGTGACACACAAAGGAACACAAGCACAACTGTAGTGCAGCACAATTATATTTTAATTTGAAAAAATGTATAAATGCTACAGGGAACATGAATGCATAAGTTTAAGGCACATTCACAAAAATATACCACAAACAACTGTACACATAAATAACTACTACCATGACCAAGTGGACAGAGTGCCATTTGTTCCTTTCAACCACACACAAAGGGGTGCTACATGGATGTGGTTTCACACATCTTTAGCCAAAGAACGAGTATAGATCTGTATTTGAGGTGATTTCATCCCTTCTGTATCTCCTCTGCTCTTCAAATGGCCCCGTTTCCAGCCAGAGAACATAAAAGACAAAACGAGCAGTAAAGCGGTCATGGCAGGCGCGGCGAGCCAGCGAACAAGGACAAATGATCACTCCCTTCCTCCCTCTCCTTCCTGTTCACTCTCTTTATTTCTGCTCGTCTCCACCTCACTTTTCCTTTCATTACTTCAGTTTCCTTACTGTATGCGCTCTCCCTCGCTACCCCTTTCTGCCTCTTTATTGCTCGGCCTCTACCTTCATCTTTCTCATTACCCCTCTCTCCTCCTATTTAAGATCTCTGTCTAGCCCTTCTCGTTATCTCCTCCAGTTTGTGCTACATTACATCTCATTACTTATACATTCTTTACTTACACTCTTTACCCCTCCTTCTGTCTGCAGGACAGCTCTGGGATGCGACTTTGGAAGAGGAAATGGTTTGTCTTGGCTGATTTCTGTCTGTTCTACTACAAAGGTGAGTCCTACATAACGTCGACCAGCCTAGCATGTAGAAGAGCTGGTTTCAATTGAGAGTTTCTGCCTGTTCTCCCACCTGTGTGTTCTCCTGCTTCCCAATTATCAAACATTCAGACTTGGACAGAAATAACAGAAACACTTGACAATGTAATACAATTCATAACAATGACACCTCTGCAGCCTTTATATTTTGACATTGCGTTGAATCAGCAGCTCTCAGAAAGTCTCAGCAAAAACTGATTGTTACAAACTTGATGCAGAATCTATTGTAGGATCTGCTGAATGCCTATTGTATTGGATTGCATTGTGTTCTGCAGGTGTCTGACTGGTGTTGTTTAAAAAATAGAACTAAAATTTTTTAAAAAGTTATGTAAGTGTTATGAAAGTGGAGTTCACTTCATCCAACTGTCTTAGTCTTCATTAGTAAGTTCCCCACCACAGCTATACTCACTTCATGTTGTATTTTAGAAGGATGTTGGGCGATACATGAATTTATTGTAGAACTTGAATACTTCCAAGTACCTATTCCTTTCTTCATTTCTTCTTCATATGATGCCATTTCCCTCCTGTACCCTGTATTCTGCAGCAAGTCTGCCTGCCACCACAGTTTAAACAGAGGAATGAAACAGCAGTGCCTGAGGAGGCGTGGGCCCATGGCTACATGGTGTGTGATGTGGCGTTCCAGCGGTCTAACCTCTGGCACTGCCCAGTTTCAGTGCAGAGTAGATCGCACTGTAGAGCTGATAGTCAGAGATAACAAGCTATGAGCAACTGTGGCATTGATGCTACCTCCATAAGGAGAAGCAGGATTAATTCATTATTTTTGACAGCATGAGAACCAGACTGTCTGGACACCCCCTTGTGTTTTTACAGTTTTTCACTGGCCCAAACTAATGCAGATTGTACTTATTTAATGTTTACTGAACGTGTACTCAGAGATGGCTTCAGATTCACTGGCACCATGTTAAGTAAAATGTTAGTGTTAAAACAGATGACCAAGAAATGCATATCACAGCACAACAGCCAACATGGTAGATCATCTATAATGTAAATGGTCGTACTTGCCTCCAAATATTCTTCAATAGGTTTTGTGCTGGGATCACTGGGTGGTGTAGTTTTATCAAAAGTCATGTAAATATGGGTAATGCACAGTGTTGCAGTGGTTAGCACTGTCGCCTCACAGGGTTCAAACCTGCTGAACCTTTCTGTGTGGAGTTTCTATTTTCTGCCTGTGCATTTGTGAGCAACTGGACTTCCTCCCACAGTCCAAAGACATGCGCAGGAGGTTAACTGGTTTAAATTTGCTGTAGCTACAGCCGGTATAGATAATGGATGGATGGTTATGAATGTAGACAGGTTTATTTCAGTATAAAATAACAAGGTTAAAATGATTACAAATATTGGCCTTTTATGTTTTTTTATATTTATTTCGACGAATAAACCTAGCAAGTAGAACGCATGCTGTGCACTGTGGTTGATTTAGTCTACATGTAACATGCAAAAAATGTTTTTCCTGCAGTTGTTAAACAGTACGACCGATTTCAGTCAAACAATGTCTTCTTTCATTGTCTACAGCCTTCAAAGCTACTGTCAAACTCTGTTTCTCTAAATGAAAGCCTGGTGCAGCTTTGTTGATTAAAACACATATATGGCCTTTTAAGTTGCTGTCTAGGTACCTGCTTTGCAGTTATAAGCAAATTTTGTACAAAAGCAAAAATATTTTTAATCATGTTCCTATCTATCTTGGTCTGAAATTGAAGGTAACACAACTGACAAATGTTTGTCTGAGGAGGATGCAAATATACATGTGAACTGGAAGCCTGACAGCTTTCAACATAAAAGGTTAGGACAAAGTTCTGAAGTTTAAATTGGACTCTGATGATGGTGGATTTAAAGTGAACTGCAGCTGACAAGGGAGCCAGTAATTCAGTCTGGGCGGGCATTAATCTGATCTTTCTCAGTGGGTTCCAGCTGAAACACAAGGACACACACACACAGCTGCATCACACCCTCCATCCACCGTCGGTCTCTATCCCCCTTCTGTCTTTATCTGACTCTCCACACCTTCCTTTTTCATCTCCATATTCTTAAGCGAAGCTTTTGGGACATGCTTCTCTGCTTCCTCGCCTCGACAGGAGGGCGAAATCAATTCTCTGTTGTTTCATTTTCTCCCTGTTCCCTGTCGTCTTGCTCAGTTCAAAGGTTTTCCTCTCAACATGAAAACTCTTGATCTGTCTCCAGCACCACTTATCTCCTCCCTTCATCTCGTGTTTTTACACAAACAACCAAACCTTCCTTTTCTATCTTAGACTGTGTTGTTACAACTTTATTTTTTTAGATGGTTTCTGTGTGGACTGTGGCTTTTTTTATTAAGCGACCTTGCATTTATATGGAAAGATAATTAACATATTAACTACTTTGTACAGTAATAAGCAAATAAATATACATAAATCCAAAAGGCAGAATAAAAAAGTAAAAGGAAAGATAGATATATTGATACGGATAATCAGCACTTAATGAAGTTTGAGCTGAACTCAGTCATACATATATATTGCCATTAATAATTATTGTTATTAACCGATTAAAAATATATTAACCTATGAAATATTTCCTGATTGTGCCACTAGGTGGAGCCTGCAGTTTGGTTTTGGCAAGCAGAGAGCTTTGTGGGGGTTTGGCTAGTGTCACCATGAGAAAGTCTCCTGTGACTTTTAACGCTTACTGGCCAGAGTTCTTGTCCAGTGGTAGATTATCTATTCAGATGGCCCATATTATGCAATATGTGATATTTGAGTGGCTTAAGTCATGTGACAGATCAAAGCAGCTGCATCAAGACACAGCATGAGAACATTTTCTGTTATTGGTTAATCAGTTATAGATTGATCAGGCTGTTGATTGTCTTTCAAGAAAAATAGTTTAAAATCTGTATTTCTAAAGTCTGAATCTGCGCTGGAGAGGCAGTAATTGGTACAATGCAGTGTTAAGGTGGAACTGCTCAGCCATAGCGTTGATTAGTTATTTCATTCAATATGAGCCTCTAAGAATGTAGAAACACTGTATGGATGTTATGTTTTTATGGTAGGTAAAAAACTTGATATCGCAGGGGGTCTTTAACACTTGAACACACAACCAGTTTCTGAACATTATTACTTTTGTTTTTGCTCACAGTGGATTTCCTTTTTCTGGCTAAAAGTAAAGACAACTCAAAAATGTATTTTGCGTCGTGTGACAGTTATACTGCCATAACTCATAAACTCTTCGGTTGTGCAGAATTAGATGAACCGACCACAAATGGTTTATTTTTGAAACATTTTACATAAGACAAACAGATTTAAGTTATTTTGATGAAATATCACAATATGAAGAAGTACATTACAGATGATTAGTTGAAGAACTAATGGGAAGGCCAAAATTCAAGGACTCTCTCTGTTTTTGCATTTTCTGGCTCTAAAAAATTTGCTCAATTTGGCCATTTTTACAAAGTAACTAAACATAAATGTCAGCGTCTAAAGCTGACACTTACATGTACACAGCACTGTGGGTGGGACATCACTGGGCACCACAGAATGGTGACTACAGATAGAATGTGGAGCCACAAAAGCAATGTAGCCTTTTTGTAACCTAATTTTAATAGTAATCAGTGAAAATAGTAGTGGTACTGTTAATCAGAAAAATGCCAAATATTGGATCTGATAATCAACCCAGCTGATAATGCCTAATTGTAAATGATTATTCTAGTAATATTTCAAAAATATCACACACTGCCTAATTTTGGTCTCTCAACTGTAAAGAACTTCTGTTCTTTGTCGTCTAGTCCCCAAAGTTTCTTCTGGTTTTGGTCTGATGATCAGATGAAAAAGGAATTAGAGGACGCCTCAGTAAAGAAATGAAGTAAACACGCAAAAACTTGCAGATTTATCATAATGAAAAATGGTTTCGTTTAGGTTTTTTAGTCCAGGATTGGAAATCACAAATTGCCTCAAGAGGTTTAGCATGCGACACCCGTCGGTTTAAAACAAACAAATGTTTTGCTGTGGGGGAAAAAAAGACAAAGCAGAGTAACAGAATAGTACCTTTCTCATGCTGTTTGTATGCATTTTAATTCATTTTTCACAGTCTGTTCTGCTCAGTGTGGGTGAGGTGGCATGTGTGCATGAGTGAGACCGACGCAGATAAAAAGACCTCACTGTCTCGCCCACCATTTAGGGAATGTGTCCTCCAAAGGTCCTTGAATTATTTTTAACCATTTTACCCCTTTAATCCACAGCGCCACCTTATCACCTCTAAGCCCGACACCCACACACACGCGCAGGTGTCGCGCACACATATTCTCATACCGTTACGAAATTCTACAACGTGGTAATCATTGGAATCATTCGCATTTCACATACACACTCTAGCATGCTGTCATAGTATTCAGTGGAAAACAAGTACGTTGCAGATCTTTATTTGTAGGCACGTGAACCTTGAGAAGTGAGGTTGTTTTTGGACAGTGAGTATATTTTTCTTCGGTGGGGCTGCTCGAGGGTTAGGACTCGTTTTAGGTTGAGGTGAAAAGGTTGAGGACTGCGTTATGTCACCGAGAGTTCTTACAAGTATAGAAGGACACGTGTGTGTGTGTGTGTGTGTGTGTGTGTGTGTTCACAGTGATCTCAGCATGTGAACGAGGTGGAGCAGATGCAGAGGAAAGGCGACTGGCTGTCATTACTGTTTGGCACAACACTGTGGTATGAATGACGGTATGTGTGTGTGTGTGTATGTGTCTGTGTGTGTGTGTGTGTGTGTGTGTGTGTGTGTGTGTCAGTGTTATGATACTGGTGGCAGCCAGTGATGAAATTAGTGGGTGATGAGTGATATTTATTCTCTTGCTCTTTCCTTTCCTTTCCTTCATATCTCTCTCCCTCCTTTTCTCACCTTATCTACCTCCCTCCCTTCCTCCCTCCCTCCTTCATTCCTCCCTTTCTCGCTCTCTATCTCTCTCTCTCTCTCTCTCTCTCTCTTATTCCCTCTTATTCCCTCTGTGTTTCTCTATCCAGACAGCAGAGAGGAATCAGTCCTGGGCAGCATTCCCCTGCCCAGCTATGTCATTTCACCCGTGGGACCTGAGGATCACATTAGCCGCAAGTATGCCTTTAAGGTACGACTCTCTTTGTTCTACAAACTATTTCTATGTTGTTGTTGTTTTACGGTTTACTTTCTCTGATGTGATTCTTGTCGTTTTTCTGTTTTTTTTTTTTGTTTTTTTTTTAAAATTAATATTATTTTTTTCTTGAGAGTGTCGAGTCACCTCCATGTCCTGGTTTGAGGTTAAAAAACACACCAAAACTAATATTAATCTCCCTCTGACATGAAGAAAAGCAGCACAGATTTCCCAGCTGATCAGTTGCAGCTGTATGGATTTGAGGGGTTTTGAATAATTGTCGTTTTCTGTCGCCTAATTAAATTAAACAAAATACAGAATTTAAGATATGAGATGAATAAAAACTGCTGAATTATTAGTTCTTCTTTCACCCCCAGCATGAAAGAATCTTTTGATGCTGTTAAATGTGATCATTAACAAAAGAATACATCATGTTTGAGGTATTCCAGCTTGAGTAGACAAAGATACTGTGTTTTCATTCTGCTGGAGCCACTTGAGATAAAAATATATACACCTCATGCTATTTAAAGCACTTCGAGTTTCCACCGAGTGGTTTATGTCATTGCTGACAGAGATGTCCATTAGAAGTGATGCATGTGCATTTCCAAGTCAAAACCGGCTTTACTGCAGAAGGCCCGTAAAACAGGCTGTACCACAACTAGCAGGTTTGGTGGCACTTGACGATTTTCCAACTGTATTATATTTATGACTCATACACACAAACAAACAGACACACACCCACAGTGTATTTTCACCTTTTTTGAACAAGCATCTCTTATCTGGATGCTTTTAATAACTCACTGCAGAAGCAACATGTCTTCAGGCTGTAAGCAGACAAAATGTTTTGAAGTTGAAATGATCAGTCAAATTCAGTTTTGTTTATTCCTTTTCAAACTAAATATTTAACAGTTTTTAAATAGTTGTATTTTCAGCAATCTCTTAAATGAAAATAGTAATTATAGACAAATGCACAATTATCTTTTTACATTTCTGTTTAGACACTTAAAACAGAATCTTCCCACAATCATTACCCAACCCAACCAGCTTCCACTCAGCGCCGTGCAGCACCTGTTGCAGCGATATCTATTACCACTTATTGTCTGTCTATGTGTTTAATGAGACAGACAAGCTCCTCTGGAATGGCATCAAGCTTCTCCATTCCCTGAGGCACAGGTTTTTAAGTTAAGCCCGACAAGTGTGAAGTTAAGTGGCACACTTACTGTCCAGCACGGACAAGTCCATACTCTACTGTGTAGGAGTGAACTTAATGAGTGCATTTCACATTTGCGCACATGTACTGTATATTCACAGGGTTTTTATTTGCTTTTAGTTGTCAGGTAGTCAACATACCCAAATTAAGAGCACAAAAAAAAGAGGCTTGAGCACCCTGCTTATTTCACTGCTTTTTATTGTGCAGACTAACGTGTCGACAATGCTGTGTCTTTGTCAAAAGACAGAGTGGTGCTGAAACGTTAGTCTGTTTGCACAGTCTTGGAGCTGAGAAACACCTGTTTCACCTGCATTTTTCTGGAAGATGTGCAGAGAAACCAACTTTGATATCTGCAGCAGTTTATCCATGTTTCTGTCTTTATCTTTGAGCAAGATCCAGTTTTCATCTCCGTGTATTAAAATATTTTCTCTAAGTCCTCTAATGTTCAGTTCAGACACTGCAAACTTGACAAGCCAGGTATCTTCCAGTCAACTTGGTGCATAAAAATAGCAGCTATATTCTCATCATTGATCCAATGAATCAAATTGGCATCTTGCACTTGCCTGTTCAGTGGTTGGTGAACATTTCTGATATAGCACCCCACTGTAAATTCATATTGGTATGTACCTGCCTCATGCAAAGAAACAATTGTTGTAGTGAAGGATAAACTCAGCAAAAAACCCAGGTTTGTTTTTAAGAAATTACCTTTTTTTCAGGTTTTGTGTCTTTAAGGAAAAAGTTGGTTAATATATTGTTTGCTGTAACCAGCAAAAAAATAAAAACAACTGATTGAACCATGGTACAGTTGTAGTGTTCTTTACAAACTTCTTAAGGTCATAGTTTACCTTCTTTCTTCACCAAATGCTGTCCTCTGGGTCACTGCATGAATTCCACTTTGAAAAGCAGAATTTGACATGTCTGGTCATTTGGTGTCTCGAGGCTGTAGGCTGGTTTTTGTCTTTTCAGCCAGGCCTGAGGGCAAACACTGTCTGCAGTGTGTTGCGTCAGTATCAGTTTCTCCTGCCATTTTTATGCACCTTGTTCGTTCGAGTGTTGTTCTCCCAGCATGACTGCTGCTCTGTGATACTGTGGGAGATATGTTTTGCTTCCACTCCAGACAGTTATTTGAGCAAAGCTCTTGTGTTGTTTTTGAAACAGGGCTGTAAGTGTATGTGTGTGTCTGTTGCCACGGGTAACAACACTGAACTGGTCACTTCCTGTTCTTATTTTTCTCCTTCTAGTGTTCACTACAACTCACAGCTTTGCCCAGATGATTGTTCGTGTTTATTTTCATCTTTTTGTGTCAGTTAGACAGCAGGGATTCACAGTGGACACAAGTTACTGAACATTGTTACAACCATGGACTGTATTTAAAAAATAGACGTAGTCACCTTGGCACCACCCATTGGTTTTTGTTTGTTGCCCTTTTGAAGCCTTGAGTTTGGAATTTGGCCGTTACTATCTTGATCTTTTGAAACTGGACATGAGGAGTGAAGACTGGAGCTGACTGAGAGCTTGAGGACACACCCATATTATAAGCTCTCAGTCCTAAGGTCGCAGTCCTCTAAAAAATGACCCTGCTTGTCTATTTTACTCTAAACAGAATCATAATTAACAAAATTAACATCATGGTGTATTCAAAAAGTTTTCAAACTAGCAATTGAGGCCTTACACTCATTAGAAAAATGTTTACTGAGGTAACAAATCAAAGGAATAGTATACATTTTCTGTCAGACTTCTATACAACTTAACTTTTTTATTTTTTTGCAACCAGAGAAGTCGACCCCTGTTGGCAATTTTAAAAAAAAATGCAGGTTACAGTCACTTCCATCTTGTCTTCACTTTTCAATTCAATTCAATTCAATTTAATTTAATTTGTATAGTGCATATTTACAACAAGTCATCTCATAGCACTTTTCAGACTTGGAGGCTATGTCCATCTTTTATATACAGTTTATGATCAGAACCTGGGTTGTACACTGTGCAACAGATTCCTGACTGTGCTATGATTCAAAATATTATAGATCGTACTCATCGCCTCCATGGGAAGAGAGAGTTTTCCTCTACACATGGAATTTATTTGCTTGTTGAAATCACACCTTTTATACACAAAATAGTACAAAAATATTTTGTACATATTTTCTGGCTCCATTTCTGTACATATTATTAATTTTTGGAACTGTGGAACTTTGCATATCCCAAAAAAATGGCATATTTACCACTAATGCATTTGACAAACTTTAGGTTTATATTTGCTGATATGTTAAAAGTTCTTCCAATGAGATAGAATTTTGATTAAAAAATAATGCCAATATTCCACAGTCAGGGAGGAAAGGATAGACTTTCATGAACTGATAAAATATTCACTTCCTGCAAGCCTTATATGAACCTGATGATGATGGCTATGGTGTTTTGTTTTTTTTTAAATACATATTTTTGACTTTATATAACAAGCTAAAAATCAGCTTAAATCCTCCAGTGTTGACCTCCACTGGGTTAATTTCTGTCCTTGTTGCAGTGATGCAGAGGTGAACCCCAGGCTGTAGTCAGTACAGTCTGGCGTCACAGATGGGTGTGATTACAATAAAAATAAGCCTCCGACAACTTGGACAATATGTGATGGTGAATGCTGTCAAACAAAAAACTTTAACCACTGAAGGCAGTGAAATGCTGCTTCTCAGTCTAATGTGAACCCTCTGATACCTCAGCAGTTTCTGGGTGTTTCCTGCTCTTGTCACATTTTATCCCACACTGGGCTCATTTTTCGTTGCACTATGAAGTCCTGCACCTCTATGGAAACAGGACAACCATGACTAGAAGTAAAGAGAAATCCAAAATGTATTTTCTGCAATACAACAAAACTATAGTGTCATAGATTGTTAAAAAAGAAAGAAAGAAAGAAAAGAAAAGAAAAGAAAGAAAGAAAGTTAAATTTCTCAGTTTTTTTGTTTATTTTTATTTTTTTTTACAAAAATTGAAAAACTCTTGAATCAACATGTAAAACATTTTTCCAAGTAAGTTACACATTCTGGATTTTTTATTTGGTCTTTTTAAACATTTTGGATTTCTTTACTTATTTTTCTGTTATCTGCTCTGTGGAAAACACAGCCTGCAGTTCAGCTCAGTTCAGCCAAACCCCCTGGATTATTTTCAGCTAATGCAGCTGAGTCACTAATGGGTTCATGGTTATGCCAATAAGCGCAGAGTTGTTTCTTTTTTTACAGATAGTTTGTTTTTGACAGTTTTTTTTTTTTTTAAATGAATGAATGAAAGAAAGATTAAATATAACATTTTAAACTTAGCTTATCACAGAGGAGCAGTTCAAGGACTGTCGGAAAATTAAAAAATCCAGAAATTCTCCTCGTTTTTACAGTTTCTGGCTCTTCTCTTGAATATGACATGCCTTTGAAAGCTCCTGTTTAGGGGTTTAAAAGGTTAGGTTATTCTTTAAATATTTTCTTCTTCTTAAAATTGATAATTGCGCCACTGCAGTAAATGCCACCAACCTGTTCGTCAAACAGGTTCAGACAGAATCCTGCTTGATTTAAAGTCATGCTCAGGTCTGCTGAGACCACAGTTAGTTACCTCAGCAGGCTGATGGTGGGTATTTGATTTGGGCTCTGAGTTTGTGAATACTGCACCTGCTGACCACTAAATCGACCCATACACATCATGACCCCCACAAATTAAACCTTCGAGCTCCCACAACAACCTCCCACCCATCACCCCCTCCTCCTCCTATTCACCGAATCCTCTTCCCTCTCTTGCTCCCATTGGCTGGCTGCCT